CATAACTATAAAGACGACACCCAGGTTACATCCCAATGTCACCAGGTGACTATAGAACCATTTCCACTACCCTTTAGAAACCATGCCGAGATCAGTCCGAGCACAGTAACCGAGATAACCGTTGAGTGTAATTGGCGCGCACAACTGAACCGGACCACACCAGAAACAACGAACATCGCTAACATGGTACTAGTTCATCAGTAGGGCTCGGCACAGTTCAGTTCTGGCTCGGTTCTCGGATAACAAAGAGTGCATGAGCAGACCACGTCATCTCCTTACAGTCAGCCTCCGTAATCAGGACATTTTAGACATTCATAAAAGCGCCACGTGATTTCCAGCGATGGTTCTGCTTAGCAGTGAGATGAACCTCAACGTCTGTCGTTGTTTCCTGCGTCTATAAGCCCTATTTAGACTATCAGTTGTCGTATCCACTTCCCAAAAGCCGAGTGTGTCAAGTAAATTCACCAAAGGTGAATACCTTTAAAAATTATAATAAATAATAATTTTCGTTGCGATCACTGAGTCTGGGAGCGGCCATTTTTGCCCAAATATAGTAACCTCTCCCTCCTGCCATCTTCCAGCAGTGACGTCACGGTGCGGTAAGCCGTGACCTGCAGACCTCAAGCGGAAGTGCGCAGACAAAAAGCAGCTGTGATTGGTCCTTGGTATGCCTTTCCAGCTGTCTTTGTGGTCGTCCTTCTCGATTCGGTGCCGGGGCGTGCCATTATTAAAAACCGAGGGGTAATAACAACAATGGACAACAACGACAAAAGGTTGATCGAGGAGGTTCGGAAGTACAACCAATTGTACGATGCCTCAGACAAATTATATAAATAGATAAATCCTCTTCGATGTCTAGCAACTCTAGATCCATCTCCGTGAACATGATATCTTGCAGATGCACCATTGTTGTTTTGGAAGATAAACACTCCTTACTGCGGTGCCGAAGTTCTCGTGACCATCCGCCGAAATTCTCCCGAGTTCTCGAATAGGCTCCCCCTTGCGCTTTGGCGGGAAACTCCTGTGCGTCCCTAGAAATACCAGACCAATGCAGTAGCATACCAGCAAAACTGGTTCGTGACCAGACCCAAGCCACATTTGAGGTGTGCGGTTGCAGAAGCATAACCCGCCCTTAAGAGAGAAGCGTCATCTCCTGGTCAGACCCTAATTCAGTGAAAGGGTGGAGTCAGATTAAAGAAATATACAAGAGGGGGTAACTCCAGTGGCTGGAAGTTGGAGGGGATTCTGCTGGGAGTTGCAGGGATGTGGGCTGCTATTCGGCTGGCATTTGACTGGGAAGGGCCATTTTAAATGGATGCTACTGTAAAAATTAATAAAAAGAGTTATTTCACCTTTCCGATTCATGATCCTCCACGGATGGGTTCGTCGTTGGATTACCGACTTGAAGAGGGAGGATTTGCCATCGAACTTCTGGCCAGAGAAAAAACACGTAATATGTAGCCAACATTTGGAAGAAGAATGTTTTCAAGATGACTTGGATAATAGCGCGTTGTGACAAACACCAGATACAGCACTGGGACTTGATCAACAGCCGATACCGCACCGTGACGTCACAAACCAGTTGGTGGCAGTAGTGTTCTTTGACAAACATGGATGCCTCCAGTAAGGAACATTCAAATGAAAATTACTCTAAATTAAAAACACTGATCATCTATTGAACAGGATGGAATAATTTCATATGTAAAGTACATTAAGAAGTTTGTATTCTGAATATGACAGTACTTTTGCTTTAAATTGTCCACGTACTGAATTGTGCTTAACAAATGAAATTGTCTTTCCTCTGCTACTTCTAGCTCAGCAGAAAGTCGTCTCCTCCTCATGATCACCTTTAGTTTTACACCAATAAGCTCACATTTCATTTAAAGAGCAAAAGACAGAAACTAACCCAACATGGATCAAGCAGCTCATCTTTTCTCCTGCTGACCTTGAACGGTGTGAGAGAACAGCTGGACGAGGACACGTTCGAGGATTAACATTCAACGTAACTAGATTAATCCACAGAAACAGCAAGAGGCTAACAGTTTTTCAAAGATTAGTATGTAACCCTGGAAGGGATCGCCCACTCTGCCTGCACCAGTGGATTACTCTGCTGCAGCAGCACCCACACACGTCTGCTCAGCACTTAAAGCTCTAGACTGGTGAAGTTCAGCCCAGAAGACATTCAGTCTTAGTAGATTCACTAATCAGCTCATTTAGTTTTTATTCACTGCAAATGTGATCCAGAAATAAGTAAAAATGTCTTAAAGGTAATTAACCTTCATTTGACTAGGTAAATACCGTAAGATGATTTGCCAATGAAATTAGTAGTTGTACACTTTCTTATTTTAAATGTAAATTGTCTTGTTCCATCAGCAAAGTGTCTCACTTACCTTCTCGTTTCAAGAAACAAAGCACCTATTCTAAGAAAAAAAATAGTTATATATAATTCAATTTTTGCAGTGTTTATATATCATTTTATATGAATATAATTCAATTCGAGAAAGTTTTAGCTTTTTGAATGTCCTGCGTTGGAGCAGGAACACATTTAAAACTAGGTTTCTGTAGATCTGGAATGCTGGTGAATAGTCTCAGTCATCCAGGTCATAGTCAGTCCAAAAAAGTTAGAAAAGTTAAAAAACAAACTACTGGACTTGTTTTCCAAGTTTGAAAATTTCTCCCACACCGTTCAAGGCCAGCAGGAGAAAAAATGAGCTGCTGAATCCATATTGAATTAGTTTCTGTCTTTTGCTCCTTAAACAATGTCCGTCGATGGACATGGAATAATGGTACACAAGTTAAAACAGGTTGGGAACTACTGTCTGAAAAGGCATCATTTAAGCAAGTAAAGTAAATCCAGGTAACTATCGGTGCCTTTGCTCTGGATGATGATCCTGCTATTCTGCTCAAAGGCTGGGTCGCATTTGGAAAACATCCTTTGGTTCAAATATACAGACACTGCTGCACATGATGAGAGCGTGCCTCAGACCATGACCTGCCATGACCCTCCTCCATCGCATTAAGACATGAGAAGCACAGTAACACTGCTTTACACGGCCATGGGGTTTAAACTGTAGCAGACTTTATGAAAACCTATCAGGAAAATCACAGACATAAGAGAGATTCTGATTTAGCTGGACTCTTTCTATAGTTCCATCTATATGGAGTGAAATTTGTCCCCTTTTTTTTTTAGCAAAAAAACCCTTGCGGAGAAAAAAAAAAAAAAAA